AATTTATAATAATTCCATTAACTTTCTTAAAATTAACTTAAATAGACGTTAGAGCACAAATTTATTTTTTTTGTTTAAAAAGTCAACCCAAAAACCAACCTTTTTGGAAGCCAATGTATTGAATATTCGTTTACAATTTGGAAATCGCAATTTCCGAGCACATAACCCGTTAATTTACAACTCTTTTGTAAAGATAGCAAACTCATTTCGATCAGCCTCTCGATGCGAAGATAAATGATTTCATATTTGCCGGAAGTTAAGGAACTTTTTCCGCTGGCCATTTGTCATCAATCAATTAGAAGCGTTTCCCCTGTCAAATGTGTCAAACTATTGCATAAACTAACATTAACCCGGGACAACTATGACCGGCTGGGTGGCTAATAAATTTTTCAGGCCCGCCAACAGACTGGGCCAACATAAATCTACATGGCCGGCGATTCGTGCATATTTCATTGGTGCGCAGCGCTCCGATTTCCCGTTCAACTTTGGCCCAACATGAGCGTTTGCTGAGTTTCATTTCCTTGGCACTTCCTTGCAATACTTTCCCTTTTTTAATATGCTCATTCAATTTACTCGCGTCCCGTTCCCGTTCCCGACTGCTCCTCGATTATTGATGACATGACAAACAAGGTACGATTTCCGCCCGGCGCCCGAGGAAGAAGTTCGAGAATCATTTTTCTTTCAGCTCGATTGTATTTGTATGCGCATTAACTTCATTTTGCAATCATGCGCGCCATAAATCCAATTTAATTGTGCTGCTTGCTCACACACACCCATACACACACACACACACTAGCAGGGAGTAACGGACACGGACACAAATACAAAAACACACGCATGAGCTGCTTGAGTGCACGACGGCGTATACTTAATTTTTGCTCGTTCGTGCGCTCAAATCCGCTTCCTCGCAACTTCTAACTCGATGCTAAATAGAAGCACATAAATTTCCGTTCCACCAGCCAGCCAACCCCCACCTCACCCCCTCGATATCCGGTTTGATTTCTTTGGATTGCATTTTGAAAAATAGATTTTTTATACTGTTGCTCCTTTGCCTTTGGCTCTGCCTTTCGCTTTATCTACCTGTCTCTGTCTGCATCGGCGTCTATCTCTCTCCCGCATTGATTTACTACGCACAATTTCGTACCTTTTGCTGGAAGTGGTAGAGGTTCAGCTCAGGTCCAGTCTGAGTAGCTCGTTGTGATTTATGTTTGATTGAAATGCTCTAAATTGTATGCTAATCTGGACTTTGACACAAAGCTCATTTGTTTGTTGCCCCCGCGTTGCTGCCTCGGCCACTTCTGTTGCAATCGCATTTAAACGTTGTGCTTGGCTTTTGGCAGTTTGCCTAAGCGTTTGCTAATTTGAAAACCATTTCGGTTTCGAGCTGCCGTCAAGGGGTTGCCTCTTCGAATGCTTAAATCATTTGTCAGGCTTTTAGGTTCTCGTTTTGCATTCAACACAATTAGTTTCGCTCGGAGGAGAATCCGTAGGAATCTGTTCTGGCCAAACGGACTGTTAATTGCCGAAGAATGTTTTAGAGAACTTTAAATATTTAGCACAATTTTGGAAATGAAAATTTGATTATGGGTTGGAGCTTCATTGAGATTGTGGTCAATTATGCCTGCTAGCTTTATGAACTCTTTCCTTGAATTTCCAATTATAAGCCACATCAACAAACGTACTTTCAACACAGATAATTATAAGTGTGTTTCTTTCGGAATACATATTCTTATGCATGGACTTTTTCCATTTTTTTCTAAATAGGAGACAGTTTTAGCCAATCAAACTTTTTGATTGTTTTGAGTAATGCTTTCAAAGCTTTGTAAAGTTTTTTATCTAAAATTAAAAACTCAAAAGTCGCACTACTATAAATAGGTCGGTATTCATAAAAGCAAGTTGAAAACATACTTCAAGTTTGTCTTTGGTTACTTCCATTCCAATTTAAAACTGTCCCCATCGCTGGACACATAATCTCTTTATAATCACGTAGCACCCATCACGAGTTGATGTGATTGCAGACATTATGTGCAGCTGGCTGGGCGCGGTTACTTCACTATCTCTTGACCATAAATTCCGGCGGATCCCATTCCACCAATTTCCTGTCGCATGCCCTGCTAAGTATGCTATATAGTTTTTTTTTTTTTTTTTAATAACTCCCACAACTGTCAAATGCGAGGGGAAACAGCTGAAATGCAGCAATAAATTGCCGTGAGTGAGTCAGAGTGGGGCATGCTTCATTAATGCGACAAGCGTGGGCTGACCCCTGACCCCTCAACCCTTAACCCTTACTGTAACAGCACACCACCCTCCCCCCTCACACACAGACAAACAACACAATTGGCTGCACTTGTGTATCCACTTAGTTGGGCGAACAAAACCCACAATATCCACATGGCCGAGTGGTTGCACTCACGAGCACCGCCCATTAACCCCCTTGACCCTCTCTGAGCCACCCTGAGCCTCCCTGAAACCCCCTTTCACCAACCAACTGGCCAGTGGTGTGGTCAAGCGAGCTCCGTGCGGCTGGCAGTTCTGTTTTATTTTTGCCTTTTTTGAGTTATGCGCGGCATTTCCGGTCTTGTCATTTCATACTAATCAACATCCGTTGAGCGGAATTTTTGGCCAAGCACTCTGGACTGCATTATTTCGCGGCTATAGTTCGTGGGTAGCCCCGATATTCGGCGTAATATTTTCTGACCCGCATTATACGCATTTGTTGCAGCATTTACATTGTAATTGCAACAGTGCGTATAAGTGATGTGCATATAAATTAGATTTGCTGCGCTGTGGGTTGTCGGTTGTCGGACAAAAAGTCCAACTGTGGAAATTGAAAATTTATTGCATACCCCGTGGCCAGCGCTCAGTTGGTGGTGTGGGCGTGGCTTTGGTCAGGTTAGCTTCGGTTTTGCCTGGCTTTCATTACAAATTACGCATACGCATACGCACCGTTGTTAATTTCATATTCATAAATGATGGCCGCTCTCCTTGGGGAAATTGCATGAAGCACTCCAGCTCTGCGGTCCTTTATGCCACAGGTCTCGTTTGCCTCTGTGTGTGTGTGTTTACGCATGTGTGTGTATTATTTGCTAACAAAAAATTGGTTAAATTATGCCTTAGTTGAGGCCTTCCTTTAGCCGTCTTTGATCTCCGCCCTCCGAGCTTTGCCGAAAATCTCTGCTTTGGTCTACTCCAACTAGCCAAAGCCAGGCAACATAATCCGGTACATTTGAGTCTGAATACCCTCTTAGGTCCAGTCCATTTGGCCACTTGACTGGCCCGAAAAGCGGAGTTGGCCATCAAATCCCCAAAAAGTCCTGCCCATAAACATAAAAACCAAAAGGGCACTGCTCTTCTCAACTGGTCCGCTCGGCCATCGAGTACTTTGTTGAATTAAACCTCTAATTAGTAAAAGCGGTTTTTGGCCGGGATTAAAGGTTGCCCAGGGACATCTTGAATCACTAATGAAAATTTCTTTGCATTTTTTAAGATTTACTTCTAAGAAGAGGCTCCGCAATTCTGGAGCTGGCTTGATTAAAAATGTTCATTAAGCTTCCAGCTTAAGCAAAGCAGGAAGGCTCCTTAACTCTAGAGATTGAAATGGGGGAAATTATGGATTTGGGAAATTTGTAGGGATACCCAATTCTCTGAAGGCTTAAGCAAAGCAATGGGATTAATAAACTCTTAAGAAATTATAAAAGGTTCTAGTAACAGGAAATTAAAACAGTAGGAAACAATTTACAAAATTGCTGTTAAAGGAAAGTAAATTATTTGATTGTTTTATAAAACTTGCATGAAAAAAATTCGTTAGTGTTTATAATTTTCTAGATTAAAATAATTATTTTGTAAGGATTGATTTTTTAATTTTTATACCACGTCTGCAAAGTATTCACTTGCTAGCAAAAGAAAACTAAAACTGAAAAATGTGATTAAACCCTTTTCGCACGAATCCACCTCTCTAGTTGGTACTTGCATCAAATTTCGTATGCTACCAAGATCTTATTTCTCCTTTTGTCTCCATGACAGTTAGCACTTGCCACTTGCCCGTTACCAACTTCAGCTTTTATTACATGACACGACATTTCAACCGAGGCAGTCTGCACTTTTAGTGCCGACTCACCAATAAAACTGCATTGTGTCTATAGAAGCCGGGCAAACAAATTAGTTCTGCCCAGACACACACACACACTCACACACTCGGTGGCAAAAACGGGGGTGTTTGAGGGGCGGGGGGGCATCAAAATATTAGACGCGTCAATAGCTGTGCACATTTTGTGCGCTTTTGCATTTCGAAGGCAATCGGGGCGACAAGTTGAACGACATCGAATACGAAGTGAGGGCAGGATTCACATTGGCAATTCAATGGAACAAAAAGTGCAACCAACTCTGATGACGCGCACTCTCTGTTCGTCGATGAGGATGTCGATGATATGGGAATGTGTGTTTAATGGTTGACATTGTTGTTTACAAATTGACTTTTTGTTGCTGCCACTGCCGCTGCCTCTTCGTCTGCCTCTGCCTCTGCCACAGGCACTGCTGCTCGTCAATAAACATTTGCCTGATAATATGCCAACATATGCATAACGTACATAAGTAGCTTACATTCCCATTCTCATCAGCACTGTCAAAAAACGTCATCACAATCGGTCGTCAGTTTGTGAAATACGAGCATAAATCATATAATACATTTACTCTATAATTTGAATACTAAAAATAGGAAAGGTGAAGATAGGACTTGATTGGATTATTCCAACTTTTGCTTCTACTATAAAAATAAAACCAACTTTTAGTAAAACATGAAAAATATTATTTTTAATTTATTCAAATAACTTTTCTTTAACTAGTTACTCAGTTACATAATTCTATAACCACATTCTATAAAAATATTTAGTTTTTGTAAAATAATTTTAAAACGGGTATTTTGAATTTTAATTAAGTTTAAGAATTCCCATAGATGATCTCGAATTTATCTCGACTTATCTTTTATTTCCTCTGTGCAGCAGAACTGCAGCAATATCAACAGCAGTCGAGCAAACATCAGGCAAATGGAGCTGTCCTCAGTGGCATGCCGTCGCATCACATACGCGGACCACGCCCACCGCTGCGCACCGCCTCCTCGACGACAACGAACAGCAGCAGCAATAACTCGGCGATGGGCGTGGCCGTGGGCGGGGGCGGCGGCGGCAGCGGCGGCAACATGCTGCTGGACCAAACGCCATCCGGCGGCAGCAGCAGCAGCGGCGTGAGCAGTGCGCCGAGCTCCTCGAAGGGCCACCACACCCACTCGCACTCCCACGCCGCCCACCTGGTCCACTCGCACGGCGACGGGCTGGTCCTGACCTCCGCCTCCCCAGTGGGCGGCCAGCAGCAGCATCCGCAGCAGCATCAGCACTCGCAGCAGCAGCAACAGCAGCAGGTGCCGCAGGCGGCGATGGACGAGATGCGCGTCTGATAGGTATCGGTCTTTGAGTTGGACTTATAGTCATCAACGGGGTAAGCATTGCATCCAAAATATAATACTGCTACACACTTTCAATTCCGATTTCACTTATAGTTATTTCATGTAAATTTCTTTTCCATTATAAGGCGATCAGCAAATAACGAAATCTAAAAGATACAAAGTTGCTGTTAAATTTTTGATAACAATGTTTTGCTTCAAAAGTTTTATACAAAGGAATAAATTGCAATAAATTTAAAGTCAAGATTTTATATTTATAAAAAATTAATAATAATTTTATTATAATTCTGTAATACAAAATTTAAATTTTTAAAAAGTTCACTTATCCCCCAACCCTTTTTGTTTATTGATTCTCCGATTTGAACACTATATAACTCTGCTCAGAGTGTTCCTTCTTTTCTTTCTCCTCCTCCATCTTTTCCTCCTCATTCTCTTCATTATCCTCTTCCTCCTCCTCTTCTTCTTTTATGGAACGAAGAGGACTTATGGGATTGTCAGTGAACTCGTATGTAATTTCTCCAAATGAGTTTATTTTCGCGTATTCATACAGATAATACTTATTATTCATTTCGCGTATTATGCCAAATCGAAGACCAACCTCCAAGGCCTTTTTCAATTCTTTAGTATAATATTTGGGTCGCCACGTGGAGTTCAAGGTGGCCAGGACGAACTCCAAAATGTCCTTCCAGTCAGTTGGCGGGTCAAGTTTCTTCAAGGCGAGGGTTAGGTAGTGGGATATTGTAAGCTTCTCCATGTTATATATGTTTTTTTTTAATTTATAACGAGACAACTAGTTCAAAACGATATGGAATACAAAATCGAGTTAAAATTCTCCAATCTTAAAGTCGATTTAGTGGGAAATTTCTTTAAAATGCAGAACCCGTACCTCACCAACCAAAAGGAATGACAAACATGCTGAACCCTTTGGAGAGCCGAAAAAAGCAAAGGTCGTGACGGGACATCCGAAAAAAGGTAAAATAAAATATCTGCGCACACAGGCTCTGATCAAAAATAACAAACGGCATGTCAAACATGCGGCAGCAAAAAATGCTGGCTCTTTATTTGATAAAAAAAGAGAACAAATAAAACATAAATATGCATGAAAAGCACGGAGTATAGCCGAGTTCATGGTTCAAGGTGGACTCAAATGTCGCAGTCGCTGGAATGGAAAAATGCCAAAGAGTGGGCGGAAAAATATAAACCCGAGTGAAAAGCTTTAATGGCGAGCAATTCGCTGGTCACAAAAAAATAAATAACCAGCAACTGCGAATTAAATATAGGTGGGTAATAATGCCAGACTCGAGTGCAGTGAAATTATAAACGAAATTAAAAATGGAACCAGCAGACCAAGCCATAACAAGTGGCAAGGTGCAAAGCAATTTGCGGCATGCAACTTGAAACCGAGCGCCCAACTAATTTATGAGCCCAGTGTCGGACTCTGGAAATTCGAGCTAAACCAAGTTAAAACTGAAGTGTGGCCAGAAAAAAAACTTAAAAATTGCATTAGCTGGAACCAGGCTGTGTAACCGAAACTGTACCCCAATTTCATTGCTGCCAAGTCAAAATAAAGTGGCAAAACCAACAATTACTTTGGCAGGAAGTTAAGCCAGTTTACAAAAAAACATTTAATGCTGTAGGATTTATGAATGGGTAACGGCCATGTCAGTTGTTGACTAGGTCAATATAAAATTAAACTGTTCTTAGAGATAAATGGAGATGTGTTTGTTTCTTCCTTTCAAAATTCCCAACAAAATTCAATTCAAGTATAATATATTTTTTTCAATACTTGAAAACCTTAGCTTGCGAATCACTGTTCATTTTATTAATTAAATTTTCCCACAATGGTGGAATTTTCCCCTCACCTGCTGAAAACCCCTGCCGAAAAGCTCAACCCACCGAAAGAACATTTTATCACCTACTTCGCTGCCCACTTGCAGCCACTTTTGCATGGGCTCGTGTGTGAATGTGTGAATATGTGAATGTGTGGGTGGGTCAGGACACTATTTCACCGGGCGTACAATTAAATTTGCATTTCTTTCCGTTTTTTTTTTTTTTTTTTGTTTAACCCACGCTGCCTGCGCAGCCTCCGCCTTGGTTTCCTTAACTTTTAGCTGATTAACATTTCTGAGCTGTGCTCTTGGCGCGGTGGAAAATGCAATTTTCCCTTCCTGCTTAAGTGAATGGGGGGCACAGGGCAAATGGCAACTTTTATGTAAATTTACACCCACAAACACGCACACAGGTGGGGATGGGGGGCGTGTCGAAGTGTGTATGTGTTAAAAGCGCAATAAACATTAATTTCGCATTCTTTTTTCTTAAGCCACTCCACTGACTTTGAGCTCCTTACACTTTGTTTAAGTTTCTTCTGCTTCTGAATTTTTTTTTTGGCACTTGTTTAAATTATGATCAAAAGGTTGGAAAATGGGGGAAAACCAACAAAAGTTTCAGAAGCAGACGCTGAAAATTTATTTGATTGCATTGCGTTAATGAAAACAAACAGAGAATAAACTTTAAGAAGACCCAATTCATTTAAGACCAAATTTAAATTGAGATTTCCGAAAATGCAAATATCTGGTATTTAATCACTCGGCAAATTTGGGAATTTGTTAAGCCTTATTTCCATTTAATTTGTGCAGCAAACATAAATAATTTCAATTTACTTGTTTGCATTTCGACACAATTGATGCTACCATCCGACACATTGCTAACCAATTAAATCAACAAATGGCAGAAAATGCAGCTTACATTTCTCATTAATTTGGGCTTGTCCTAAAATCAAATGTGGTCAACTTGGTCGCCCGAAGCTGTTGTTATTTGGGAAATTATTGGGCGATTAAATAAGTTTTGCCGCTGAGAAGTGAGAGGAATCTTTAAAAAGTGTTATGCCAGAATTGCATGACTTGGACCACACTGAAACAGGGAATCCGCTTATACACAAATTCCACAACGACTTGTGGGCTAAATGTGTTGAGTTTACTGATGGTTAAATGTTAAAGGGATTAACTTCTTATGGGTTAGATTTTAACGTAAATATACAGGCACGTATGCACTCATGTCAACTCATCCAGAAAACATTTAACATAAATACTGACTTACGAAAAAATTGGCTAATTGGCTAAAATAATTCGCAATATTTAATTGCGTCCAATATTTTTCTTTGAACTCTGATTTTTATATTTGGTATCTTATATTGGCTTTTATTTATTCCAATTCTGAAAAAATTATTTAAAGTTATTTAATACTTGCAGTTCAACTAGTAAAGTGTTTGAATTGCCCATTTTCCATTTTTTATATTTACATATATTTGTTTATTTAGCCAGTACGCATATTTAGGGTATTTATTGCCCGAAAACTTAAAAAATTAAATGATGTTTTTTTTGAGGCAGAATGTTCTGCCGGAATTGGTTAAAATTTGGTTGGAAGACATATTTTAAAAACCCCTGATTACCCACTGCTACTAATCGCTTTATTAATGTAAAGATCCTGTGAACCTGAATTGGTTCGGCCCTTGAGTGATGTTTATTATTTCTCGGGAACTTAAGACCCAGTACCCTGCTTTTCTTCTCCAGAGCCAGTTGGTCCCCTCTTTAGGAGCACAAGATATGCAAAGTGGCTGCACAAACATGCGCGTAATACGTTAATGATGGTCTCTGCCTTTTCCCCCGCTTTTCCTCCCCTCGAACTCCCCTTTTTGCCACCCGTAACTTGCACACATTGTAGCAGCGATTTGCATTACGCGCATTACTCAGTTCACTCATTTTGCAGGGGCTTCTTTTTCTTTTGGTTCTGGTATCTTGCAAGGAGAAGGTCTAAGCTGCATAGCTGCACCACTTCCCCCGAAAAACCACTCACACCACCACCCCCTTCTATCAACCCCAGTCAACAATCTGCGCCAAATTGTGCGCTCAACTGTGCTGCTGCATTGCCTGCACCTACATCAACCACCCACCACCCACCACCACCCCCTTAACCCTTGGTCGGCCCCCAATCTAACACGGAGCACCACCCAACCCACCAAAGAGCTGGCAAAACAAAAGGCAGCCGCGCATTTTTCGAAACTGCACTTTACTTTGCACTTTTCGCTTTCTTTGCATAAATTCTCGCCCACCCGAGTTTACTGTACTGCAAAAATGGGCACGCATAGCGAAAAAGAAAGAAAACAAATTGGCAGAAGAGTGTCGGGAAAGTAGACTTAGACATACCCTGCTCCTAAAATGTTTATAAAAATTTGTCTTCAATTTTATTATACAAATTTATCGAAAACTCAATTTCAATTTTTAAATTCCTAGATTGAAAGAATCATGAAAAAAAGGAGTTGGCATAATTGCTAAGCTTAAAAACAGATCTAAGGACATAATTTCTATTTATCTTCAAAAGTATTATACCTATTCTGACCAAGTAAACAAAATACCCTACGAAATTTTCAAGGCACTGGGTACAAAAATACAAACAGCGGTAGATGAAGAAAAAGTTGAAGAAGGGAATGTAGGGAAAAAAGAGAAAGCTGAATAAATATGGCTTGCAGCTGCTGCAGAAGATTTCCCGCTGAATTTTAAACTAAACACAAAAGCATAATGGAAAAATGGAAAGCGCCAACAGAGCGCAATGAAGTGTATGGCCGTGAGAACGGCGTAACATCAGCGGATCCGCGACCAAATGGAGCCGAGCTCTACGATAGGACAGATATGGACGGGACCGGCGATATAGCGCGGCCAACTGAGTGGCACTGATGGGGCTGCACTTCTGGCAGGCACTGTGTCGTTAGCGTGGCTTTCGGGGGGTAGCAAAAAACAGGGGGAAAAGTCAAGACTACAACTGCCACTCGAACTGGAGTTCTGACTTCTGTGAAGGAATTCCCTGATAAAGGGAAAAGATTTCCAGAACCACCAATAAAAACAAACAAAGTCGATACAGAATGCTGACTCCTCTAAAAGAATTCTTTAAAAAAGGGAAGAAATTGCCAAAACACCAAAAAATTTGATAAGACCAAAATAGTTATTTAAACCTCACCTTCATGATCCAAACCTTTCTTCTTGATTTTTAAAAGCAAAAACTTTTGCAGTGAGACATATGTTTTTATTTATTTCTTTATCAAATTGTTTAAATACAACTACCTAGTTGTTAAATGGTCTTTGAAACTGAACTTCATATTGAAATCCAAAGATTTCTTCCCGCTTTTGAAACGCAAAAACTTCTGCAATGATAAATATGTTTATATTTATTTGTTTATTTATTTGTTTGAATCCAACTCTACGAAGACTTATATTTATTGCGTTAGTCGCATCTTTTGTTGTTTAAATGTTAAATAACAAAGTAAATATATCAATAGCAGGATTATGGGTTGCAAATTAGTCAGTTTTTATGATGAATATAACAACATAATGTGGCTACATTTAATCACATTTTAATAAGTCAATATGTGAAGCAGGCAGATGATTCAGTCTCTCTTAAAAATAATATATTATTTATGAATATTTACTAGATTAATTAAATAGTATTAAAGGATTGTTCTGTTAAAACAGGAATGCGATTAAATTAAAAATGCGTAAAGCTACTTTAGCTTTTTTTATTTAAAGCACAATTTTTGCAAGGACACGTTCCACTTTATTTATATATTATTTTTAAATAATACGCTTTCACCTTTAACCAGAGACATGTTTAAAAAGGCCACCGGCTGTGCTGAAGAAATTAATCCGCAACATCAACATTTCTGTTTGCAGCTCCATAGAAACGCTGCGAGCGGAAACGCCCGAGGAGTTCTATGCACCGAAGCAGGCGGATGACGACGGCCAACTCAATGGGACACCAGCAGATGCCGAGGCAGCGGGAAGGGCGGAGCGGGGAGGAGGAGGAGGCGGAGCAGCCACGCCCACCTCCGCCGGTGACCACAAGCAGCGGCAGCTAAAGAAGCTGCGCTTCAAGCGGGAGATCCACGCACTGGCCCTCGAAGGAGGCGATGTGGCGCGGGGCTACTGCTCCTGCGACGAGCAGTGGACCAACTCCTCCTCGCCGACGTCCACCACCACGTCGGCCACCATGTCGCCCACGCTGCCGGCGGCCGGAAACGCCAGCGGCGGACGCCATGCGACCGGAAACGGGCCGGGAAACTCGAGCGCCGGCAGCAGCGGCATTGTCAAAATGGCGGCGGCAACGGCAACGGCAACAGCGGGAAAGCGGAGCGGACGCCTCAAGCAGCAGCACCACGTGCGCTTCTCCGACGAGAAGAACTTCTCGGATTGAGCGGGAAAACCAACTACTAGACTGCACCTAATCTCTGTTTAGTCATTAAAAACTCAAAAACAAAAAAGAAAACAAATCATCAGAAACCTAAAAACAAAAAGTTATATACGAAAATCCGTAGATAAAAGTAATCAACTAAGAAGCCTGTAAATATAGTTCGGAAGTGTTAGTTAAATATCTGTGTTTAGTTGCTCGATAGATCTGTTGTGAAACCATATATGCATATATATAAATATGTATGAATATAATCAAGTAATCAAGTAAGTGTAGCACAAATGCATTTTTTCCATTCAACAGCTAATTGAAAGCAAATATTGATGGAAATTGTTGATAACGGAATTCGGTTGACGGCATTGTAAATATTCTAGTCAAAATAAACATAAAATGTGGTATTATTTACTTAAAGTAAAACATGAAAATGAAATTCAAGAACACTAAACATGAAAAAACACAGACATGGCTCAAAATAGATTAGATTAACGAAGAAAGTAATGGGATGCATAATTGAAAACAAATAAATAGTTAATTATTTAAATTGAATCTCCGAGGATGATAAATAATCATGTGACGCTTTTTTTTACTGTGTACAAAGCCAATCAATGCACAAAATAGAATCAATGAATAAATGCTTCATTTAACAAGAATTTCACAAAAAAATTAATTATAAAATACACAAAAATTGTCACCTAAATTCAAACAGTCAAATGAGTTATGATACTTTTAAATAATCTGTTTATTCGTTTATTAAAACGAAAAAAAAGAAAATCACTTTTGTACTTTACATTCGCTATTATGTAATCCAATGTAAAAGTTACCTCAACCTAACAAAAACTGCCAATATATAAATTAAATAAATCTTTTTCTAGTTTTTCACACGATTTCACACATTTTTTGTTTTATTTTTCTCGGTCTGCATTTCAAACTCTTCCATTTGATAATTCAAACACATTAAGTTCACACCAAAAAGCGTCGCCAAAAACACAAAGTATGATATTTGTATTTGTAAGACTAAATTTATAATCGTCTAGTTTACAATATAAAACCGAAAATGATTGCAGGATATGCAAAAATCTAATTTAAGGGATTAATATGAAGTAAAGTTAAACTAAATGAGATATAAACAAACCATTAAACTAAAAACAATAAAAACTAAATAAAATAAATACTAAATAAGGATTTTTATTTGCGGATATGGAAACCATATTTCTGTTATTATTTAGTGAACTTAAAACTCAGATTTTAAAATGGACAGTGAAATATTACTCGCTGCTTAATACTCCTAATATTTTACCATTAAGCATAAAATAGGCGTGGTTTTCAAATCCCATAACCGAAAAACTCGAAACCAGGTTTATGAACCTTGGGAATGCCTGCTAACAGCTAATAAAGACCTTAAGACCCCGGAGAACCCGATCTAACCCAAGGATTGTTGGATTCATTTCGTTTTAAATGCTCTTCGTTTATGAGCCAAAAATTTCGTTCTGGCAAATTTTAATGGCGCAAATTTTTATGGCTGCCAGCAGCGGTTATTAAATCAAGTTTTATGTCTGGCCAGCAATATGCTTCGGAGGATCTCCGAAGTGGGGAAGAAAGTTTGTTAAGTTCAGACCAGAAATTCAAGGTTCTTTGCGAATTAATTTATATGATGAAGCTCAGTTCTTGGCAGCGAACACATCAAATATATATGCAAACCACGCCCACCGCCCCCAAAACCGCCGCACTTTCAGCTCTTAAAGCTTGTTTATGTTTGGTGAAAACTATTCCAATTAACTTGGCCAAAAACGAAAACAAGAATTTCGGAAAATAGAAAACGAAAGCTAAAAAACAAAATACCCGCTGGTCATTTTGTAACTCTTTTGTAGACTGACTTTTCCGTCCATTTTCCGTCCATTTCCCGCCCAGTTCGTTTGTTTTGTTTGATGTGTGGTACATGCATTTTTTGTGTTTTCCTTATTTTGCCCGCTTTTGTTGTACTCGCTTACAAAAAGGCAAAGTTTTATGCGCAAATTTCATTATAATATGTAAAATGTGCTGGTAAATGAGTACGAGTATGTGTATCGCGGAAGCACGGTTAAAAAGTACATGTGGAAAAAGAAGTTAGCTGACGGGCATAATTAATTTAAAATTAAACACATTTCACACACGCCAAAACATTTTGATGCCGTCTAAAGTTAGTGGAAATATTTCGTGCTTTTTTTGAAATTGTCATTTGACGCGAAGGTAGTTCGGTAGTAATTGGTAATTTTAATTACTTGTCAAAAAATATGGCAGTCACGAACTAACTAATTTTTGGCTTGCGGATATAAATCTGTTTTAAAGCCATATCTATAATATACAAATTTATTTATTTATCGAGGTATTTGACTTTTTAATCTAATCAAAACTACACCAGTTTGAAGTAATATCCTTTAGCCATTAGGGAACTCATCCGCAAGAGCAAAACTCCATCCACAACCATAAACGACCCCCTATATTTCCCCCCATAAACCACAACTTGCCGTAATGTCGGTTTCGAAGTGAATATTCGCTTTTAATGTTTGCTTTTTATTACGAACTAAATGCGAAAAATGTGTTGGCCAAGAGAGTTATGCGAGAAGAGGGTTTTGCTCGGGGTGTCTTTGCTTGACACTTGCTACCTTTTTATTATAAATGTTTTATAGCGGGGAATTTTACAAATTACTTTTTGTGCAGCCCCAGTCACACACATGCGAGCATAAAAACTTGATGACAGGTGTAGCAAATTAGGATTATTATTTTAAATGCCAAAAAACCAACGTCGACCCTCCGCTGTTATATCTCCAATGCTAATTATTGCGTTATCCAGACTGCAAAAACTTTACGGTGCACTTCAGCATGATTTTTATTTTCGTTTTAACCAGTGATAAAAATGTATAGCAAGAAGTGTATAAAGATCAGTATTTTTTTGAGTACTCTGACGGATATTGGTAGATGGTAATTTAGTTTCCAATTTAAGTGTAAAGCTTTCAGGTTTTTTATAGTTTCCATCACATTTATGTGGCTTTTTGTAAAAGTTTATGTACTTTATAAACTATTTTAACCTCTGCCTTAATGAAATTAGTGTGTGTGTTACATTGCTTTTCACTTACCGCTTCAATTAATTAATTGAACCTAATATATTTGGGTCCTGTCTCTTAACTTGCACTTTCCGACTCATTAAACTTTAGGTGTTACATTTCCATCGGCCAAACTCGATGAAGAAACCTGATTTCGTCTCAGACTTCTCTGCTCATAAAAGTCTAAAGTTATGGCAATAATAGGAGCAGCAGCAGAAGGTACAACAATTTGTTTTTGCCGCTGTCGTGTGGGAGGCAAACACATTTATATGTTTTCCCACGGTTAACACGACGTATGCGTAATTTATGTCGCTCACCGGCAGCAGGTGTACAGGTCACATAGCGCGGTTTTCATATTTCTAAAGTTCGGGCGTAAATTTGATGAATGTTTGCACTTTTTACGGCGATCCCATACGAGCGGGTCTCATTTGGAGATAGTGCATTCATAAATTATCCACTCAAGAAAGCGCAGTTTAATGAGAAATCATCAAGCGGGGTTTTGGTTTTTAAAACTGGCGCGTTTGATCTATTATTTCGAAAACACCCACACTGATTCTTACGGATGTTGTTGTGTGGAATCGTCCCTGCAAGCCTTTTCTATCGCGGAAGACACTTCTGAGTGACTTCTGGAAGATAAAACTATCTTCCGCGACTATCGCTTTCGGATCGCGGAAGTGACGTCCGTCGGGAAGAACTGTGACACTTCTGCGTCACCCCCCAGAAGAGACTTCCGCGACACTTCCAGAAGTGACTTCTGCGTCACCCCCCAGAAGAGACTTCTGCGACACTTCCAGAAGTGTCTTCCGCGACACTTCTAGAAGTGACTTCCGCGACACTTCTAGAAGTGACTTCCGCGACACTTCCAGAAGTTACCCAGAAGAATATTCCCAATTGGAAAAAAATAATAGAAAATATTTTTACTATTTTTATTAAAAATTAAATTTTTTTTTAATGTAATAATTTATATGTTAATATATTTTTTTTAATATAATTTTGTATATTTTCGACGCTTGTACAACCGATGAGCTGTTGATGGAAGATTTTTTGATTTTTCAGCTCTGAATCATCCGGAAATTTAACAAACGTAAACTCTATAAGAAAACACACAAATAACATTATTAAAATGAAAAGCATATTTAGAAACTGATGTGCATTACCTTTATATAAAAAAATAGTTGATCTTAACATGTGCTGCATTTTTTTCCGGCATTGTACGCGTTGTTAGACGTAATAATATTTTTAAACACTTAACAATTTTCAGACTTGAACTGGCAAGACAGCAGTCTAGAAACTAAATGACGCCTTGCAGCAAAATCTGTACGCGGGTCAAAAGAAAATACACAAAAATGTTCAGTAAAACCAGAATATCGGTAAATTTTTGGGACCTTTGCTTTACTATCTTCCTATCAACTTCCAGAAGTGAATTGGGAGATAGTTTTTTTGTATATTTGTTGTTGTAAAATGTGTGCTATCGTCTTTCTATCTTCCAGAAGTGACTTATAAGTGACTTCTAGGCGATAAAAAACTCTTCTTTTTTTTCCAAAAATTTCTATCGTCTTTCTATCTTCCAGAAGTGTCTAAGAAGTGACTTCTAGGCGATAGATGTGTATTTTGTTTTTGTAAAATGTGTTCTATCGTCTTTCTATCTTCCAGAAGTGACTAAGAAGTGTCTTCTAGACGATAGGGGATAAATTTATCTTCCAAAGGCTTGCAGGGGTAGAAGATATTAATCTTTTTTGCTAAATTAAATTGGTATCAAGACCTTGATGTATTTATTGTGTTTTATTATAAAATTGGCCTTTTATAAATATATGTTGAATGTGTTTCAGAAAAAGTAACCATTTTTTTCAACTTTTGATAGCAGTTTTTCTAATTGGGTTTCCCCCAAAAATGTTGATTTCCTTTTCAGTTACTGAAACTGTAAATTATTCCAACAGCCCCGTTAGGCATAATATTTATCAGAAATTTGCGTTTAGCTAACAGTAGCAAAAACCTCTACCAACTATCAGACTCCTCCACCCGCCTTAAGCTTGTTCTTCCACCAAGCAAAACTTTGGCTGGAGCCACTGATTTGGCTTTTTAAGTGACACAAAGTTATTTTTAATGTGAGTAACGATCGTTCTTCCTGACGTTATTCAAAAATCCTAAGTCGCGGTCTTTTATAGTCACACCAACAGATAACGAAATCGTTTTCGAACGTTTGTTGACAAAAACATTTCCATGTAAAATATTTGTTGGCAAGCTGGAGAATGCGCCTCCAGTGGAATTTTTCGGGCTTAATTCGTTAGTTGCTTGGCGCCCCCTAGCGGACAAAAAAGAGTATGTCAATCGAGGAAGCGATAAGTATCGCAAAAATAAATATCACACGAAAATATCGATGTATTGAAACTTCTATATTTTTCACATCCCTAAAACAAAACAAGCAAGGGTCGAAAAAAACTCGGCCGAACTCGAACGCAGGCGGACGTGTCGCGGATGTCGGAAGGTGGAGTGAATTGTTCTTGTGCTCCGCGCACCGAAAGCCAATAAGCGCCATAACAGGCTGTGCCTACTGCCCTTCGTGGATAAAACGGTTCGTTTGTACTCCGTAAAAAAAAACAAATAAAACTCGTTCGCAAATGCAACGCACTCACGCACACCCACTCAAGCGCGGGTGCACGCACAAGTGTAGGTGCGAAAACAAGTGAAACAGAGCTGAAAAAACAAACTGAGCTGCTTAGATACTTGCCAAATATTGAATTAAGCTCAATATTAAAAGCAAAATAATAACAACAATCAATCGAAAATGCGCGTGTGACAAAGAGGGGCGAGTTATGGGGAAAAGAGAGTGAGCACCAGCAAAACCTACACAATCACACACACATACGCTGACGTCGACGCGCTGTCTGTTCAGTGGAGCAGTGTTGCCAGCCCACACAACTGCTGCCCGAAAATCCCAATTAAATAATTAATAAGTTCAAATCAGAATTGGAGTATCCGAATTGGACGTTTTGCTTTGCATTGGGGCTTTGCTGCTGAGTTGGCAACACTGGCCCCCCCGAGGGAGCGAGAGAGACCCCAAAAAGAGAGCAAGCGCGGGAGAGTCACATGCTGGGTCGCTCATTTCAATTTTCCTCAATGAACACTTTTCACGGTTTTCGGCTCGTCGGTTCGCGTTTTCCACATTCGTGCGTTGTTTTGCTCGTGGAAAAGTTGTAAAGCCCCAGCCAACTACAAATACATAATATAGATATAGCCAACATTTTATTCACAGTGCATGTGCAGAGCGAGAGAGCGATCACCAGCCTAGCTAGCTGTTAAATAATTTGTAAAGTGTTTGTGTTTTTAACGTGTACAACCCGAAATTCTATGCCTTTTGCATAACAAAAACAAACCGAGCAAATAAAATATAAGTGAGGAAAAAGCCATACACACACATACGGACGGAAACAGACGCCTACGTCAATAAGCGAAAAACGGTAAGCGCAAATTCTTTTACCCCATGTTGTGTGCTTGCCAATTGGAAAATTTCTTGTTTCCCCTCCCGCTCTCTCTCGACCCCCCTCTCCCTTGCTCGCTCTTACACTTGCTTTTACGTTGTTGGCAAGCAGCGCTTCATTCATTTCCACAAACAGCCACACATACCAAAGCACACCGCTCTCTTTGGGAGAGCAGCGGGCTTCAGTGTGACCGTGTGTATTTGTTGTAGCTGGTCAGGCCACAAAATTTGTATTCGCGAAATTCTATTCTCCTTTTGTTTAAAAAAAATGTTAGCTACAAAGCTTTGAACATTTGCACATCATATTGTTCATAAGCAAACAAAAAAAAAGGTTTAACAATAGCTCATAGACTTTGCATGTGCGTGTGCTTGTGTGCATTCTTTATCATTGATATGTTAAATGTGAAATGTTGAATTTCAAATTAAGCTCTGCGTTTTTGTAAACAAAAACAATGGAGTGAGAATCAGCTACTGAAATTAGCTAAAGATACAAGTTACTGGTTTTCGGTTGGTTTCATTAGGGAAATCATGATTGGTATATGAGAATTTGTTGGCCACAAATGAGTTAACAAAGTCGCAGTCCACTGCGAGAAACGTTTCCAGTTTTCAACTGAGATAGGATTAAAACTATGATCAGTCTATGCTAAGAAAAGTTTTGTGACTGAAACAGTGTCTCATGAATATTATTTAACTTTCTGTGAGTATCGAGAACTTTATGTCTGTGCATTGGCCCCACTGTTACCAACTGAAGTTAATCGCCCCCACCCACTCCCGCACACATATACAATCGCACTTGCACTCTGACTGGCTGCGCATCAGAGTGTTAGTGTAATTAGCAACAAAACTCTCGCTGGCAACTGCATCGCATGAGGTTCGAGCGATGCGTTGCTTTTGCATTTGTTATTGTTGCTGCCGTTCGGACCCAATTTCTCTCTGTCTGACTATCTCTCTCGCTCGCTCTCTCCCACCCTTTCCACTGCCTAATTTACATTTCAATGTGCGTGAGCGCGCATTTGTTGATAATTATCAGCAAATTACTAGACGCACTTAGCAGCACCAACAACACCATTGTGAAAAGTAATGCATACACACAATAAGCTTGTACAGTGGTCACTTAAAAAAAAAACGAGTTAATGAAACTGAAAACTAAAATTTGTTAAAATAATGTTAAATATATAAATATATTTATATAAAAATAATTCAAATTTATATAGTCCAATCAATCCTGTTTCTTCGATAATGTAATATAACTTCTTTGCTGGAAATCCAAAAGATCACTGTGTGAAGAAATCTTTTTTATGTAGTATATGTACATCGAATTAGGCGTGTTCCAATGACATTAATAATGCAAATACATACTTCAATATACTTTACCAATATTTATTTTTATTGTCATTCGCTTATACGGGTAGGTGGGGTTACTGAATTTTTAGAATAATTAATCAACGGTTAGAACTTTTTGTTGCTAATTGGCATGTCGTTCTGTGAATTAATCTAAACACCGATACAGAAATAAACCCGTTGCTATGTCTACGACTTCGGCTTCTATGTATAATAAATGAAATATAAATGGCAAATCCAACTTTGGTGGCAAAAACTTAGTAATTCACTCACTCGCACACACACACATACAGCGAAAGAAACTCGCACGCCGATTGTTTATTAATTTATTTTATTTGTACAAATTTGGTTTATCGTTAGCGGCAAACGTTTCCTTTTTTTCATTTTTATTATTAACTTCATTATTCGTGGCATGGCACGTTTTTCTTGGCTAGTTTTTTTTTGTTTCGTATTTTATTACATTGTGTTGATGGTGTGCGAGTGTGTGCCTTTTATGGCCAGGACAATGAGCCAATTTTGGTATTGAAGCTAGTTTCTCAATTAGGCCAATGCGCTGCAAGAAATTTAGATAGACTTTACGAAAAGATACTTAAATATGTAAAGTGGGTTTTGATAACATTTATCATCTGTTTTCAACAAAAACTTCCATTTAACTATCATTAGCTGATAGCCGTAAGCATAATGCCCTAAAAGTCTTATTAAAGCCTTGAAGAAATCTTCTTCTTTTCTACTAGAAAAAATGTGTATCTCAAGATCTTTTTGTTTACATGGCCAACAAAAATCGAGATGGAAACCATTAAAAAGTTGAAATAAGCCACAAAAGCTACAAACAACAAACAGCAAAACTTCAATAACAATCCATCAAAAAGTTGAAATTGCCCAAATCCACGACAAAACCAGATCATGTAGAGCATTAAAAAACCCAGACAGAAGGGCAGGCAGGCAGATCCCCAGCAGTCATGCCCAGATCGGAATAAAAACACGAAATGAAAAGAAAAGCATTTGTAATGGATGGACTTAAAGTTCTGTCGGCTGCCGATTTAGCCTCTTACAGTGACTACAATGAATCCGATTCTTTATTCCGCCACATGTTACCAAGTAGAATAGCGCCTGACTCTATAGTTTATATGGTGGAATCATATATAAAGTCTTTTTGTTTGGACTCAACAAAAAATCCGATAGTATTTACAATAACTTAAGATCGGGGGAACTGAAGAAGTATTAATATATAAACATTTTTATTAGCACATGAGCCCTTCCATCGTTCTCTTCTTAAGGTTATGTTATGCAGCATCAACTGTTGTTTTAATAAACTTTTAATCATATTTTAGTTTATTCTGAACTGATCAAAATTTGTAAGTAGAAAATCAATATAATATCTAAAAGGGTGATCATACCAATGGATTAATAAAACAATTTGCAATAAAATGCAAATGTGTAAGTCAATAATTTCATAAGTTACTGAAATTGTGCCATTTGGATAAATTACTCATACTATCATCCCCATCGTCATGTTGGGGGTTTTCCTATTGCCTTCCGCACTTAATCTCTCGCTACTGAATTCCGATTGTGAGGTTGTGCGGGGAGCATCACATAGTGCACTGGGGGGCTTCTTCTTCTTTTTGGGGCCCTTCGTCTGCAGGCTGCACAGATGACGATCGTTCGCGAGTCGGGAATATATACACATAGTAGGCATTAGCGTTAAAGAGTCGAGGAGGAGATGGAGAAGAAAGAACGAAAAAGGGGAACGATAAGAAGGAAGGCAGGCGGCGAAGACGTTGTCAGCCAGACATGGCGTATACGCAGCGTTGTACGCGCGTGTATACACATACACGTACATATACGTATGAATGTATATTTGTGGTGCGGCTGTGCCTGAGTGGTGGTAGTGCTGCTGGCTGCTTTTTACTACTATGTACTACGGGTTAACACCAGTAGCTGTCTGACGGCTTGACGTTGTTGTTTGCTTCTTCGTTTTTATTTGTTTTATGCTGGGTTTTTGTTCGATTTTCATCGTTGTACTTTTTGAAGTTCAAGAATATGGAAAGCAAGAAGGAGGTAGATTTTAGAGTGCAAGAGTGTGGGGCTTTGTAGAGTCTCGTTTTCTGGCTGTTTCTCGGTTCTCTTTTTATAATGTTGTTGTTTTTAAGTCTTCGTCTTCTTGTTTGACACTAACACACGCCTAGGTGGGCATTGTATGTATGTATCTGTGTGTATGGGCAACACATATTGGTGTGTAACTTGCTGTTGTTGCCCCAAACCAGTTTCCATGTTGCGTTAGCTGCTGTTGTTGTTGTTGTGTATCTTGTAGTACGTTTTGCAGACTCGCCCCTCAGCATTCTACAAATACTATAAACATCGAGTTGTACAACTTCTTATGGCATCCAGTTGTGGAGTCTGCTAAGATATTTCGTGCTGAAGTTTTCTTATTACTACAATATTTCCTTTAATGATAAAAAATATCACAATTGAAGTAATCAATACATAAAAATCCCACAATGATTCACATAAAAAAACTTATTCTTTGTGACATTGAAGGTCTTACAGAACGATGAACTATAACAAAAGTTTAATCTTTACTCTTGAGTCGTATTTTAATTCTTAAAAATGTATTATCTGTAAGTCACTGCTATTAGTAATTTGTCTCAGATATTTGAAAATAAACTGAAATTAATTTATCTTTAAGTGAGCTTATTATTCAGTGCCACATGCACCAGAACATTTGGTTTTCAGATTTTTTTAAGATGATTAATATTTTAGTTTCATACTAGCTTTCATGCTTTAAACAAAATATTTTTCAGGGTGGTGATTAAATATTTTTGCATACGTTTCAAACGTTTAAATGGTCTTTGGAGGCTATAACATATTTGAAATTGAAAAATATGTATTTTAAGTTGAGTAAGGAAATGTTATTGATTCGCCTCGACCCACCAAATCTCGGGCTCCAAGCGACCGTCTGACCTTAATCCGCACCTGTATTCCACTTTTGGTATTTCATCTGCCAAGCGGCCGAACAGAAAAAAAGGTCCAAAACATGCGTTTGCCCCTTCATGGGTTTACTGAATCTGCTGCTGGTTGCCGTCGTCAACGTTTTCGGGATCATTAATTACGTCTGCTGGGTCTCGGCCTCTCTCTGATTCTCCCTGCACCCCCGGCTTCTGGCCCGAAAGAATCCAAAGAACCGGAATTTTCAAGAAGGAAACAAGAAGTTGTCTTTGAAACTCTGCGGTTTGTATTTGCTTTGGTTGGCTCGCACCAAATCAAGCTCCAAACTTCTATTTCTTTTCTTTGTTAAATCCATCTAACGTCCATGTTTCATATTAGAATTTTTATTGTGCTGAGCTGCCTGTTATAATAATAGGTATAAATATGAATCAAAAGGCGTCGGGAGAGAGGGCAGCTTGAACTGGTTTTTATAAACTATGAAAATAATACCTTTTCGTTGATCTACTGCTGCGACTTGCATTTTCCTCTACCTCCTGTTCGTAGGAATGAGTTCGGCGGATTCCACGTACTTCGACATCTTCGATGAGTAAGCCGTCTTGGCCTCATTAGCGTTTATGGTATTACTCATCGCGTATCCCCCACTCCAGGTCCCCAGACTCCGTTAATTTCCCTATCGAGATTTATGCGAACTGCTTTCGGTTTCTGTGAAAATGTATGACAATTTGTATTCAAATTCGATGCGATAGCTAGCGCTTATCCTGTATTATAAAACACGTTCCAAATAAGCCGGCAAATGTTTGTTTGTTGGCCCCAACAATGGCACACACGGCGCAAAACAACATAAATTGTGGTATTTATACTGGAAACATTCCCAAACCGGTTCACAAATCAATGCTGTAATATAAACCCACCAAACAAACCGGACAAATTTTGGTTTTCGGTTGTTTTTTATATGTGCACCGCTCTAAATGCTGCTGTCTTGGGGGCTACCGTTCCAGTCTCGGTATCCGTCTCAATTTCAGAACCGGCCTATGATTCCAAATCAAGATCAAACCAGATATTATTTAGCTTTTACTTTTCTAAAATAAAAATATAAGCGCAATCTTTCGAATTAATTTTATTCAATTTAAACAAGCAAATAACAGAGACTTTTTAAAGTGTGGACGTTAAAAAATATTGCTATTAATAACCTAGTATAGTAAAATATTTCATTGCAAATGGTAGTGAAATGTATTAAACGTATCTTAGTTAAGTGCTTTAACATTAACATAATAAAATGTGCTTTATGTTTAGGTATTATTCAATGAAACATGCAGGCTAAAGATTAATAATCAGAATAATGGACAAAAATCCGGCTATTTGATACTTACAGAGAAATATTTAGTGTTAATGTTTGACGAGGTAAACAAGGCTTGCTTATCAATCCACACACACTTTAAAATTCGGTGGTATTCAAAGTGAAGAGGTGAAATATATGAAAAGCAAAAAAGGAAAGGAAGAAACGCTGATAAGCCAATGAGTATTTTAAATTGTTTATTTAAAATGATAAGCCTGCAAAAATGTACTGATATTCGCTATCAGTTTTGTCAGGAATTAATACTTCTATATTATTATAGATACTCGAGTATATTTCTATTTGTTCCGTACTTTTGAGAGCAGATGCAGATGTTTGGACTGAGATACGATTACATTTACAATATCGTTGTATTACTTCATTTTGTCGAACACACAACGTTCTCAGAATTTGTTTATTTATTCGATTTCTCTCACTCGCCTCTCGCTCGTTTTCAGTGAGTGAGAATATCTAAAAGTAATGCATCACAAAAACGTATATATAAATACAGATAGATAAATATTCCGACAGACAGACATTCTCCAACTAAGCAAACAAAACAGTCATACGATGAATTCATTCTTAATGAAAAACACATATATCTGTATCTGTGCCCTGTCTGTATTTGTTAGCAACAATAGCTAAAAGTAAAAAAAAAAAAACACATTTTTATCTGCTTTTGAGGCGAAATGAATGAAAAGGCAATTTTGCAATAAAATTTATTACTTTCTGGATGTTCTGTGTAGTTTTTACTCAAATACATTTTAAAGTGCTTCGCTTTGTTGGCGTCTAATGAAAATGATCAAACAGCTATAGCAGGCAATAATAAATTATACTTTACGAACTTTATTTGCCGATTTTATGTGAATGAATAAAGAAACTTTGAAAGCAAATGGATCAATTAATTGGGCAATGAACATTTCTAGAAAAAGGGAATACATTTAATTTGGCTCACCGAATGTTACTTACAGTTTACAATGTTGCAAATAAGTAATATTTATTTTTCAGTTTATACATATATGTATCAGCAGGGAAAACAACTTGTTAAATGTTAAATTACGTAAAATGATTTCATTGTTAGGCCTTCCGCTATCAAAAACGAATTAACTTCTTGCTGCATAATTTATAAAAAAAATTTCGGGGATAGTCTAGATATATCTCTTTATTAATTTCAGAGTTCGGGACATTTTTACAAGTCTTTGCAGCTGCCAACACAGAGTGTTCTTGCACTTGTTTATTGTTTGCAGTTCCAAAGATCAACAGCTATTGCGTTTTTTGCACTTTAAAATTAATACTTTTAAGCCGTTTCCTTGACAGACTTGTGCGTGCTGCCAAGCCAAAAAGAGTCGACTAAAAAACAACAGGGCTGCGTAAAGTTGGGGGCCTAGATAATCTATATAGTTATTACTCACGTCACGTCACGAGATATATAAATAAAATACCAAAACCAAACAAAAAAAATTTGGATAACAACAAAGCTGGCAAAGTGAAAAACAAGACGAAGCGAACCGAAAACTAAACTCAAAATAAAGATGCTAAAAGGCTAGAGAAGCTTGGTTGATTATAACTGATAATGCTGGGGGCTGGGTAATGATGAGAGTTGCAAATGGCTTTGTTGTACGCCAATATGTATGTGCTAGCGGGTTCGGCTCGTAAACTTGTTGACAACAACTTTTGTGCAAGTGCTTGTAATTCTTTTTTGGGTGCATTTGCTGCTTGAGAATCGCCTGTTATTTTATCTCCATACGTATACATATATATTTCAGAAGGTGTTGGTTGGAGGTAGCAAACTCAAGGGGTTTGGTGTTGGGGTTGTAATTTGTATTCGACGTTTTACTCTTTTTTCACTGTTGCTGATATGGCATTTAAACCATTATATTGTGCGACTCTTTACCCATATCACACACTATTAAAAACAAACTAATAAATATACACATGCATGAGAATACAGTGCGTTTCGAAAATGTCTGGCGATGTGAATTTAATTGAGACATATATATTTTTAAACAATTTCAATTGTTTTTCAACGCTATTTGTTTTATAACTAGCATCTTTTAAAACATTAAAGATTGTAAGTAAAATTCAGATGAAATATACATTGATTCTGCAAATAGAAAAAAAGAAACGTAAAGCTTTTGTGTCGTTTTTAAATTGTTGCTTTTAATAATTCTACCATTAATTCCAACAATAACAACCCTACCATTTTAATCTATTTTGAATGATTTATAATTTCGTTGGGCACTGTACTGCTTTATGGTCGGGGTCTCTGATTAATCTTAACTCGTCTGGCGGTCGGTTGCTCTGTCGACCGATCATTCGTTCAGTCGCTGGTTGATTGGTTGCTCAGTCAGTCAGTCAGTTAGTCACAGAGTCAGTCAGTCAGTCAGTCAGTCAGTCAGTTAGTTCGTACGCAGTCATGTCATTCATTTGCCATTTCAAGTGCTATACACACTCATGATTGTGTTATACGAACTGAGAATATCTATATAAACGCTCAGTGTAGTTTTGTGTGCACTGGATGCCGGCTGTTGACGGTATGTACATACATATGTACATATGTACGTTTATAAAGAGTGTGTTCCGTAATAAGCTTAAAAGTGTAGCTATTGCTGGTGGAGCGTTTGCTATTCATTAATGAGTTGTTTAGCTGTCAACTGTCGGTTGTCATGCTCAATCCATTTTGTGTATACCGATTGTTCGGATCTAGTATAGATACATGTGCACTATAATGGATATCATTATTAATTTTGCTTATGCAAATGACTTATATTATTATGAGAGCTACAAAAACAAACCAGCACTATTTGACTGGCATCTATAGATATGTTCTGTATATAATATAACTTAAAATATGTTTAACTTTTAATAGTTATGGCTTAATTTTTGTGTTTCATATGTATTCTCTTGACTTTTTTTATGTCTGAGTAGAATTCATAATAAAATACCCAAAAATCAAGCAGTACACAATTACCTACATTTGTTTCTGTTGGTGAACGGACTGCCGATTTCAATTAATCTTGAATTCGTAATCGTAAGAGGTAGCAGGTGTGTGATATTGCTTGGGGTTGAGTGGATTGCTGATTTCTCCCAGGCTGGACATTATAAAACTTATCGTCCACTACCCTTGTATGAAGTTCATCTATCAAGTAGCCAATAAATTATGGGTTTTTATATCAAGACAAAGTCATGTCAACCTAAAATAAATCAATTGGTAGTAGTTTCAATAGTTTAAAAGGGTTTTCACAAAATTAAAAGTTATTGCTCAGGCATATTTCCATTTATTTAAATTTAATAATTTAATCAATAGTTAATGAATTCTGTTTCATAGTGCTTTTCAGATTGCAGTACTTTTTTATGGGTGCTTCAATTGTATTTCCCCATTTGGTTGATTAATACTTAGCGCTGCAAAGTACAGCTAAATTCTTGCCTAAACATATTAAGGTGGATAAATGGTTTATTTTATACCTCGGGGTTCCCCCTCCACCTGCCGCAATCTTTACCAAATACACAAGTCTCTGGGCTACCTGTTAAATTGTAAGGTAAATAATCCACATGAGGCACACTTTTGAGTAAACTACCAAATTACACACAACCCTTCACCCTGCCGCTTTTATCCCGCTGTTCCACTCAAAAAGCAAATAAACCTGAGTGCCTCCTCCCGCTGCTTAATTCGATTTTAGTGGTATTTGTGGTTCGTGCTTTAGTTATTGTTGTTGCTGCTACTGCTGCTGCTGCTACCGATGTTCGGTAGCCCCACAATTGTATCGGATATTGCCATTTAACTTTCGGCCCTGAACTACCCATTACTGTCTTAGGATCGGGTACTTGAAACAAGTTAGTAGGGTGAACAAATTAGAAAAGTTGTAAGTTTATAGCTAACCATTTATTTAAATTTTTTCTCTTTAATGTGATTGTCTTTTTTCTATACAAAATATTGCTCTTTTATTAACCCGAAAATTGGTAATGAGCTTACGCCACTAAGTCCACTTAAATAATTCATCTTCAATGATAAAGGGTAACATCCAGTTCATCCCGTTCTCTTGTCATCTTGACTCACCTGTTTATGTAATGCTCACTCACGAAATTCACTTAAGTAAAAGCGTCAGTAAATACCAAAAACAAAAAACCAGAGGAAAGAAAAAACGTGGAACGAAGAACAAGTGTAGCATTTGTTAGATGCCTTTCCTTACATTTCTTTCCACCTTTTTTCGAGCGCTTGAAAATAATATTTCTTCTTTTGTTTACTTTTTTTACTTAGGTATTATTCAAGCTTTAATGGCTAAGAAAGAGAGATACAGATACAGTGGCCACATGCGTGTGCGAGCCCGTCCGGCTGTATTTGTATCTTAAAGTTTGTTATGTATCTATAGTAAACAAATGCGCGTAAGAGGAAAACATGCACGTAAGAACGGCGGCCGGGCAGCGAAAAAAATTGGCTCAAAAGAATGGAATCGACTGGTAGTGAAAAGAACGAGAAATATAATGAAACGGACGGCACAAACAAGCGGAGACATCGTTAACGCTGGCCGATCCTATCCAATCCAATCCAAAACAAACTGAAACAAGCCCCGCTGTCAGCTGCCTATAAAGATACAGATACATTCGGTTTGCGGTCGGGGGAGGCGTTGGATTTTATAAGGACCGCTCCGCCACATCCACGTATGCGTAAACATTCCTTTAGTCTCGCGCGCGTAAAACGTAAAAAAGAAAATGAGAATGAGTTGGGAAAATATATGTTTTCCCCTTTTCGTACAATACGGATACATGTACATACAGCGCAAGATATATGTATATATACATATATATAAGAAGAAAAAACACAGTTTGTTGCTATTCGGCCCCACTGGATTCTTAAAGAAGGAGACAAACCAGAGGAGTTCTTGTCTGGATTTAATATTCATTTATGTGCAATTTTTTATGTGTTTCTCTTTCGGGCTTCGTTTATTTAGTTTGAGCTTTTCTCTCACTAAATTGATTTGTTTGTGTGCAGGAGTTTTCAAACCGGTTGCAGTTGAATGTTTTATGCTTTTACGGTTTTGTTTATTTGATATTTGCCCGGGCAGCAACAGAAATTTGGTCAGGAAAAAATAGCGTTTTATTACCTAGCTTATCAATATCACCACCACACCACAATGATTGCAATTTATTTCAGCAAACATTTTGAAATTGCATTCATGGATATTGGCTTCATTATCAGTTTACTAATAAGTCAACATTTGAACTGAGATAAATGCATTCATTGCGTACTTGTTATTGACTTATTATTAAAACCTTTTTATCTTGAAGAAACTTGGTGGTTTGCATTTCATGCCATGCCTTGTTCTTTACTTCTTTTTATATGTTGAAAGAAATACCGGGTTCGATTTCGTTTGAAATGTGTTCTTCGATTGAGAGCACTGGTGATAAAGATATCGGACCCACTGCGGGTCCTTCCACCGGCCTTATCTAAATCCACCCTCCCCAGAGAGAATTCTCCGACAGGAACTCGAGGGAGCCCCAAGAAACGGGTGCCTGACTGAAATGCCAATCAACACACTTCAATTATGCGACATCGCACGATAAACAGCACAAAAGAAATAACTATATAAATAAATCCGTATATATTCGGTCAGTGTACAGTGAACGCGTAGTACGTGTGCACATTGCCAATCTATAAGTAGAAGATGAATATATAACGCCAACGTACAACACGTTTTGTTCATTTTTAATTAATGAAACTTATTTTGAGCTGAGACCGACGAGACACAGACAAAAATAAGGCATCAAAATCAAACAAAACAAAATGTACTAATCGAAAGAAAAAGATGGAGATAAGATAGTTTACCCTAGCGACTGAAAAATACCCTATCTTCTAAGCAAAAAAATGGGACTTTTTCAAATTACCGATGATTACACAATTTGTAGAAGGGCGACCTATTTCTGTTCCTATTCAATACACATAATGCAACTGCTAAACAAAATCCCCAGTAAAATTATTGGTTTTGGTTTAATTGGCAGTTAGATTTCTATGGGAGCCATGTAATTTCCAGTGAGCTGACTCAATTAAGTCACGACTCACGATATAAAACAATTTTATGTCATTATTGCCAAGCTTTAAGCTTCAATAATAGTTATTAACGTGTGTTTATTTTTCAAATGCATCAATCCAGATTATTTATCATAAATTTTAGTTTTTTTTTTAAATATAATATAATAAGCATTTAAAAGATTTTGATCACATATTTAATTTTCCCAACATTCAAAAAATTAAAATTTTTTTTAGAAAGCTTAAGCTTCTTTTTAAGTTTTTATTTAAAGGGTAATACCATAAGCCGAATACCTTTTTAATCCCTAAGTATGCAGACATTAGAACAAGTTGGCTGTGTTTTGTCTGTCGACTGTTTCTATATCTTCCAAATATATACGTTTATATATATATATATATACGTATATATTATTCCGCATAAGCACGCACACATTGGATTGGCCATATCTGCTGATGGGTTTGCCTACACCAACGGCAGACTGAATTTTATCTCTATTTCTGGGAAAGAGAGCCAAAATCAATTTAGTGTGACTTTATTCTGGGCCCGAAACGAATAATCAGGTAATTTATAATAAAAAGAGCAACGTTAGAGACCTCGATAAGGCCGGCCGCCTGTGCCCACAAAAACAAATGAACCGAAAAAGTAAAAATATTTTGCTACCAACGTCGTATAATTTTTTCATTCATGCGCTAATCGCTCGAATCACACACAAACACACCCAGTGCTTTTCTTGTGAATCGTGGTGTGCGTTTGTATCTACACACTCGAACGTAGTACGGGTTTATATGGCCGATAAAAATATATATTTACACACTTTGGCCGCTTTCGTACCCGCCACACGCGTCAATGCGACGGCCTCCCACCGCCCACCACATCGCCTTCAGTCCATCCCAAAAACACCACCCAAGCACCTGCCAGCCCGGAGCTCTCCTAGAAAACATAAACACACTCTTGTGTACGTATTTTGTACGGTTTAAACACATTTTAATGCTGCGTAAATAAAGCAAACAATCTGAACCATCCACGTGCTTTCTTTCACCGCCCCGAATCCCCAGTGCTCCACACACCTTTGAAGCATTTTTTTTTGTTGGTTAGCCCAACTATATTTATGAGAAAAACGAATATTTTCATTATAAATCTATGTGTATGCATATATTTGGGGGATTATTTTTGCAAATATTTTCTCATGCCGAAATAAGTGTGATTCTTGTTGAGCACACATTTGGCTGGGTGCTCTTTACGTGATTAAATTAGCGTTATGGTGGGAACAAAACGGTATTGTTGGTGATGCAAGTATGTTGGGGATAGCAATTATGACGTAAACTAATTTATCTGCACACGCTGAAAATAATAAAAATATTTTCTATATTTCTATAAATTTATTTATAACTGCTAATTGGCTGTTAAAAATCCACGAGCATAAGAATTTTTATTTTTAATTGACTCAAAAGTCGTAAAAAGAACAATTTCTAAAAAACCCAACATATTATTTTTAAAAAACGAAAAAAAAACGAATACGATAACAAACTAGGGACTGAATGAATATCTCTGAAAATATGTTTTCTAAGTACCAATCAGCATATCACAGCTTTATTTCGAAGTTTTACTACCATACTCACATTTGTGAAAACATTTAAAGCCCATAAATTTTCGCCCATTGTTTGTTTTCTTTTAATTTGCATAGTGAATTTTAACCATAGTTTGCGGAGCCAATTCTCACTCAAGCGACAAGCGAAATAGCCGGAAAAAGTAGAAAAAAAACTCAACCGAAAATTTGCACACATCATAAACGATAGATTGTGGGTCTCGAAAGTTATTAATTCGTTGGCGCCACTCAATCAGCCACGGCAAGAACAACAACAAAAAAAAACAGAAACATCAACGAAGGCGTCGCGGTGTCGCCATCAGTCAAAGTTCTTGTTTGATTTACATGTTTATCTTTATCGGGTCGGGTGGTTTGAGTGTGCGGAATAAATTATACAACAAATATTCCAACATTCATGCAATATCTCGCCACATATCTATATGGGTAAATTTTGTTGTTTGTTGTCCCCAATGCCGCCTTTTGGTCAAATTGAGTTGTGTTAAGTTTCACACATAAACGATACGAGCAACAGCTGCTTTATATGCAAAAGCGGCAGTGAAATAATAAAGTTGGCCAAATACAACTCGCCCTGTAATTAAAAGCCAGAAAAGGCAAAAATGTTATAAAATACATTTCTCAGAAATTCAGCCAAACCAAACTGTATACACAGCCGTCTCAATAAAGAGCGACCTTTGAAAGTATTTTTTACGTTAACTATTCTCCAAATGGCGCCAGAGTTTTTCCCCAAAATCAGAAGGGGAAAACGGATATTACTCTTCTTAGGGTTTGTTTGCGCTTTCAACAAACTACCTAGAATTGCAGCTGCTATTTATTCAATTAAAACAAACAACATATGTATTTATTTCTACATTTCTAAATTATTTATATATTTCATGTTTATTTTTCAGGTATGTACCACCAAACTTGGATGGAGTGTTAAAGATTATCCTGAACGGGTTTCCCTAATGGATTCTCAAAGGATAAACGGGTTTTCGGGTAACTAAATTAATAGGATTAATGTTGGATGTTTTAAATGTATCTAATTTGACAAATAAGTAACAAACAAATTAATTTCTTTGTTATCTTGCTACCAAAATTAGTTTGAAAGAATATTATAATTGGATTTTTAATACGTTTAAAATGTGTGGGTGTTTGTTCGTAAACATTTTTGCGAGCCTGTTTGTGCTTAAAGATTATTTGTTAGGCGTCTAGATTCTAGACCCTAAGTTCATCTGTATAAGCGAAAATTGCACATATAGCCACACAAAAGTATTTAGTACAGGTACTAGACTGATATGATATGTTGATATTCTCGGTGAACTTCGGCCATTACATGGGCACGTTTCTTATATGCAACCTTGATTTTCCAAGCGCATTTTTTTGTCGCCTTTTTTTAAGGTCTTGTCATCATTTTTCAGTATTTCACATGCATCAACAAAATGCACTTTTTGTGTCGTTTTTTGCTTCTTTCTTCGCTTTATTGTGTGTATAGTATTATATATATTTTTTTGCCCAACCTAATCAGTTACAAAAGCGAGCGGCAAGCGACGTGCTTGCGTTTGTCGTGATTGCACTTTTAATTTACTACGGTCGTAGTATGAAATCGTATGCTCGTACGATGCATATACAATACTGCACACAGCATATATGCGAGTATAAGCTAAAACCGGCCGGCCCACGCAGCCATATGAATCGGGTTGCCAAGTCGTAGCCCCCAAACCCCAACACCCCGATCTCCGATCCCCGGATCCTACGGCCTACACATAAACCGCTTGTTCTCCGCTTTGACACGATTCCCGACGACCCTCGCCGGTGCGAGTGGGTTGATTGGGTTGGATCGGGCGATCGGAGGAGGGGTTGGGCTTAGATCCAATGAAATTAATTAATGAGTAGCTTGTCCCAAAAGCGTGGGCCGTTTCTTTGTTTACTATTACTATTATTATTGTTTTTTTTTTACGTCAGGCGCCTACTGGCGGCAGAAGCTCAGTGAATTTTTGGCGTAGGCGTTTGTTTCGGGCTCAAGTTTATTGTTTTCACTTATCGTCTTGTGAAAAGGGTCTTAAAAGCTTTGATTGTAAAATATAACTAATTTAACATGTCAAAACGATCAGGTCGAAGATCCGGCACGATTATAAAATTGATTTCAAAACGTTATTGTCTATTTCTTCGAATCTTTGATGTATGCTATCGATCTGTAAACAAAAACATAGATTATTTGGATATTTTATTGAAGGCGGGGGATTTCTAAAGCATTTAGTTCTCAGAACGGGATTGTTTTCAAAATAGAATTTATTTTAATAAATCTTTAGGTGAAGGATATCTAGTGCAAAAAGAAATTTCTGAGAATAAAAATCGTATATTTTATACATTTAATGTAAAATGAAGAGATTCTTCTGACAAAATTTCAGAATGCTTTTATTTAAGTTCTAGGAAACGTCAGGCAACTGCGACTTTCATTTCCTGTTTTAACTTAAACTGTAAATAAAATTATTCAAAGATCAACCCGCTCTCTGATTTCCCTAAAATTAAGCCGTTTGCTAATCTCCTAATAATTTAATCACCTGAATCCCACACACTTAAATCGATTTTCAATCGCCTAGTTTCCACTTATTGTGAAATCCGAAATGAAACAAAGAAAACTGGCGGAGATATTTCTTAGATTGGATATTGACTAAGCTGAAAACCAGAGGCGCAGCTGAAGGGGACAAAGTCCACAGATGATCTGGGAGTGGGGAGCTGTGGCAATATCTCACCTCAAGCTACGCACCTGAACCACTGACTCAGCCACCTGCTGAACAAGTTGGTAGCAATCCGTGGTTGGGCTCATGAAAAGCAAAGCGTGTCATGAGTCAAGCCAAAGTTGGTTATTTCAGGAGAGTAGTAAAAAAAGGTCGGGCCACGCTTCATACGAACGGCGTTTTTATCTGGCGATATGGCCAACCTACGACCTTTCAGCCGGCTGGACCCTGACATTATCCTTTTAGTTGGCACTCTCCTGTTTGCACAGCACGAGAATAAACAGAACCAAGAGGGACCACCCGAAAAAGAACCTCAAAAATGTTACAACTTGGGCTGGGTTCGCGCTTAGGCTCACATATTTGTTTAGGTCTCTCGGTCAATCAACGAACGAGGAGGAAAAAAATGAACTGGCCATGTTTAAATAAATAATTTCCAAGGTTTATTTTTAGGCTCTCCTCGGGCGGCAGAGCTCACAAAAGGCCAGTTAGCCAATTACCACGAAGGCAGGGGGATCGGTCAAAGTGTGAAGACGTGGTGAGCGTTTTGGGAAATCAAATTGATTGGAAATTGAGGTTTAAGTCGAAGAGTAATAGAAATGGCATTGTCGATAAAAGTAACTTCGATAAAAAGTCATGCAATCATCAAAATGTTTAACAGTTACTGGTAAAGTTTAAGTACATAATATTTCTGTTCTTATTACCCTAACTTAAAAACTCTTAGATTCTTAGTCATTTCTTGAATATATTACCCGTCTGTTCACGGTGCCTCATCAATTTTTTATCTCATTATTTTCTT